GTGCCTGGTAGGGAGGTGAGTGTGGGCGAGGTCCCGTATCTCACCAATAGCAGAGGGTGGATGGGGTTCCATATCTCACTAGTAGCAGATTAGGGGCGAGGCCCGAACTAGAACAGGAGTGAGAGTGGGCTAGGCCCGTACCTCACTACCATTAGGAGCATGGACGGGGTTCCATGAGTCCTTAGTAGCAGGACATGGGCGAGGTTCAGGAAAGGCGAGGCCTTAGGACAGAACCAGTTGCATGTGTTAGTTATGTGTTATGAAATGTTTATGTGTTATTATTTGTTGATGGGCGATGCCCTGTGACAGGCGAGGCCTAAGTAAAACAGATCTGTATCCGAGCGGGGCTTGAAGCCAGGCGGGGCCTGGAGCGGCGGGGCCGTTGTAGCGGGCGAGGCCCGAGGTAGGGGCGAGGCCCAAGATAGGGGGTGTGGCCCAGCATGTGCAATTTGTGGTTATGCATGGTATGTGGTAGGGTGGGGAACTCACTAAGCTTCGTGCTTACGGTTTTCAGTTTTGGTTTCAGGTACTTCCGGCAGCGGAGGGAAGAGCTCGGGGTGATCGCATGGCACACACCATAGATTAGACAGCCTGGGAATGTTTACTCTGATGACAAACATGTGTTTTGAACACTTATACTCATATTATGTTTTGGAATGATGACTTTACTTTAAGTAATGATTTTTTTTTAAAGAAATTTTTGGTCTTAAATTTTGGGTCGTTACATGTATGGTGTATTGGATTGAAATTTTGTTATCATAGAGTAAGCATCATACATGCTCTTAAGTTTTTGATTCAACATCTTACTTGATTCTAGTGATTACAAGACACAAAATTTCTAGTTGTGACACATCAGGAGTTTCTTGGGTCTAGCAGGGTATTATTGGAGATTTATTCTTGACTTCTCCAAGATTTTCGTCCCCCTCACTCGTCTAACGAGGAAAGGGGTGGATTTCTGGTGGGGCCCGGCGCAGCAGAGGTCGTTTGAGACCCTGCGGCAGTGTTTGTGCGAGGCGCCAGTGCTGACACTCCCCGAGGGAGTAGAGGATTTTGTAGTATTTTGTGATGCGTCCATCACGGGCTTGGGGTCAGTCCTCATGCAAAGGGGATGAGTGATAGCCTATGCGTCGCGGCAGCTGAAGCCGCATGAGACTAGGTATCCGACGCACGATCTGGAGTTGGGAGCTGTGGTTTTCGCTCTCAAGATTTGGAGGCACTATCTGTACGGAGTGCATTGTACAATATACACGGACCACAAGAGTTTGAGGAACATCATGGACCAGCCAAACCTGAACATGAGACAGCGCAGGTGGTTGGATGTGGTCAAGGACTATGATTGCGATATCCTTTACCATCCTTGTAAGGTGAACATGGTTGCAGATGCTTTGAGCCGCAAGTCTGTTGGGTTGTCTACCCCAGCCAGATGTATGAGAATAGCGGTGGATTCCCCGCTGGTGGGTTTGGTCAGAGATGCTCAGATCGAGGGTATGAAATTGGAGAACTGGAAGTTGGAAAGAATTAAGGGCGAAAGCGCCCGGTTTGTTCAGGATAACTGCAGGCTAATGACCATATACGGTCGGGTTTGGGTTTTGATGACCAGAGGAGTTAGGAAGACAGTGATGGAGGAGGCTCATAATTCTCGTTTTTCTACTCACCCGGGGCCACCAAGATGTACCGTGATTTGAGTTTGAGTTATTGGTGGCCTAGCATGAAGCTAGATATCGCTTGGTACGTCGAGAGGTGCTTGACCTGTAGGATGGTCAAGGCCGAGCACCAGAGGTCGCATGGTAAGTTGCAACCTCTGGAGATTCCCATGTGGAAATAAGAACGGATCGCGATAGATTTCATCACAAAGTTGCCAAGGACGGCAAAGGGATTCGACGCTATAGGGGTCATCGTGGATCAATTGACCAAAAGTGCTCACTTCCTAGCCATTCGGGAGAGTTCTTCGGTAGAAAATTTGGCCGACCTATACATCCGTGATATTGTCTCTTGCCACGGAGTCCCGGTTTCCATTGTTTTGGATCAGGACGTCAAGTTTACTTCACGATTTTGGCAGAAATTCCACGAGGAACTGGGTACAAGGCTGCATTTCAACACGACGTTCCATCCGCAAACTGATGGGCAGAGTGAGTGGACCATATAGAACCTCGAGGATATGTTGAGGGCATGTATCATCGATTTCGGTGGAAGTTAGGATTCCCACCTACTGTTTGCGGAGTTCGCCTACAATAACAGCTACCATTCCAGTATTGGTGCCCCGCCTTTCGAGCTATTGTATGGGCGGAAGTGTAGGACCCCAGTTTGTTGGGGCGAGGTTGGGCACAAGGTGATGGGTCGGACAGAGGTAGTTCTGCAAACTACCGAAATGATACAGCAGATTAGACAGCGACTGTAGACCGCTCAGAGCCGGCAGAAAAGTTATGCCGACCGGCGCCGATCTGAGCTGAAATTTCAGGTGGGTGACATGGTTCTCCTAAAGGTCTCACCCTGGAAGGGTGTGATCCATTTTAGGAAGAGGGGAAAGCTGGGTCCCCGCTATATTGGGTCGTTCAGGATTGTTGCTAGGGTGGGCAAGGTGGCCTATAGGTTAGAGCTCCTGGAAGAGCTTAACAGGATCCACAACACATTTCATGTTTCGCAATTACGAAAGTGCGTTATGGACCAGGAGGCAATGGGAACATCGGAAGGGATCCGAGTGGACGTGGGAGCTGGAGGCGGAGATGCACGAGCATTATCCAGCACTGTTTATCCCAGCGGACTTCGAGGATGAAGTCTAGTTCAAGTGGGGGAGAGTTGTAACGCCCCGATTCTCAGGTAATAATTTAAATAAAATATTTTTGGGTTTTGGCCCTACTCGACGAGTTGGTTGCCATACTCGTCGAGTAGCAGCGAGATTGGATCGCGAATTAAGTAACCTACTCAGCGAGTCCTTTGTGGGACTCGGCGAGTAGGAGCAGGAAAGTGAAACCCTAAGTTCCGGGGTTTTCACCCCTATTTAAAGAAGCTCAAGCCTCTTTCAGTTCCTTTGCACCCCCCTTTGCATCTCTAACTCGTGAGTGTATGTGCCCATTGTGTGTTGAAGCTTGAGAGAAGATTTTTGGTGAAAAGTTTAGGGAATCAAGTGATTGAGGAAAGGAACTGGGAAGAGATCCGATTTCTTCTTCTGTGGACATCTCTTGGGAAGGTAATTAACCATTTCCCTCAGTTATTTCATTTAGACCTCATCTTTGAATGAGTTTTAGGGTTTTAGAAAAGGGTATCAAGTTGGGGCGACAATCTATGGGCTAGATCCGAAGTTGTAACTTCAGATCTGGATCCTCCTTGGAGTATTCAAGCATAAAGTTCTAGCTTTACTTGAGTTTAAGGTCTCCATGGTCCATGAACACCCATTAAGAGCTTGGTTTTGGCATTTGGAGCTTGTAAAGCAATGCATGCACGTAAAGTTTGCAACTTTACGTGATAAGCAGGCTTAAGGAAGCTAGATCTGCAATTTGGGACCTTGCCATGGCTTAAAGACGTCTGCATGTTAAAATAACTGAAGGGACTCGGCGAGTCGCAAAGCCGACTCGGCGAGTCATATGAAGATATGCATTAAACCCAGCAAGTTGGATGAACAACTCGGCGAGTCAGATGAAGGAAGCCGTGAACTCGACGAGTTGGTTGAACAACTCGGCGAGTTAGATGAAGATGGTCATGAAACTCGACGAGTTGAAGAACAACTCGTCGAGTCGTATGAGTTTTAGCCAAGGATATGTTTGTGTGTATACCCGTCGAGTTGCAAGGAGGAAACTCGACGGGTGGCCTTAAGATTTGATCGGGATTCGAAGGAACTCGACGAGTCACCCCGATGACTCGGTGAGTTAGAATGTACATCAAGGACTCGGCGAGTTGAGGTCACCATTGAATGTTGACCTTGACCAAGGACTTTGACCTTGATCAAGGATTGACTAGTAGGTTATGGAGTGCCTTATAAGGCTAAGGACTTATGAGTATATTGTGTTGTGGTTATAGGTGGTGGAGCCTGTGTCAAGTAATCCGATAGTTGGAGTTTCCTTCCGAGTCAACATCTGCAAGGTGAGTTATCCTCACTATATCGATAGGGTCTACGGCACCAAGGCCGACCCTTTAGTTTTTATTGTTATAGTATGCTACATATGATATGATCGGTCTGATCGAAATCAAAGTAGGCAGTATGTTATGCTTTTATGATCCATAGGGATTGGTATGTTAGTGACCTGTTAGGTTAGTGCTCTAGTTACAAGAGACTGCTATAATTGATGATCGGTAAGATAGATATGTTTGATGTTTGTATATGCTAGTATAAGATAATATGCGCACATGATTAATTGCTTGTTGGTTGGGTTGAGGCGGTCCTGCTTTGTGCTGAAGGTCAACATACCCTATGAGCGGTCCGGGGAGACTGTAGGCCCACGTGGCGGACCAGTCATGCAGAAGGCTCGGGATAGATTCAGATAGACTGTAGGCCCAGAAAGGCGGACCAGTCAGGCCAATGGCCCAGTATGCATGTTGATTGATTGATATGGATATGGTTTCTGTCTGTACGGTATTGGTATTTTGGGGGTAGCTCACTAAGCCCTCGGGCTTACAGTTTTCAGTTTATTGTTTTAGGTACTTCAGGTGATCGAGGGAAGGAGAAGGTGTGACTGTAATGCTCCTCATCCTTATGATCCGTTTTGGGACACTCTGATGATAAATGATTTGGAAATGTTTTGTAAAAACAATTACTATTTGTTTCTTTTGTTAATGTTAAAAGTTTAAAATTTGGCGTAAATTTTATGGACGTTACAAAATGCCCCTTACTTAACGGTGAAATGCTAACTGAGTGAGCCGGTAGGACCAAATGTTAAATGTTTTGAAACCAGAGGGACCATCTGTAAGGTTTTTTGAACTTAAGGATTAAACTTGATATTTTCGAAAACCACGTTTTGTCTATATAAAATAAATTTGAGACATTGATAGCCCTCTTGGAATTGCCGCCTCTCAGCCTGTTCAACCCATACAGCAGCCTCTTAGCCCGCCTCTGTCGACTATTGTCACCAAAAAAAAAGGTCAAAAATAACATCTAATACTAAAAACCACCTCTTATAAGTTCATAGGGAAATAAATTACAATAGTTTGCAGCATCGTCTTCAAGAACTTCATCGTCACCTCATTGCGATCAGACACTCTATTGAGCATCCAAGCACATCATCAGAAACGTCAAAAAGGTATATAATCATCTTTTTATCAACATATTCATTTTCTCTTCCAGTCTGGTCGGATTCAATGGTTAGTTTCGATAATGGTTAGAGTTCTTATTGGCAGAGCACTAAAGAAATCAGTAAATCTTTGGTGGTTTCTTGATATTCACTTTCAGTATTCTTGTCAAGTATCGTGAGGATTTCGTTTTACAAATCACGAAACTAAACAATTTTTAAGTCAAACCAAGAAACTATTCACAGTAGATTCATCAGACTGATCGTCTTCTTCGGTACTGGACTGCCTAATTCTGTTGGCCTAAGACAAAAAGAAATCAATCCCGGTAGAAATCATTTTCGTTACCGACGACCGGAAAATCCGGTAGACTTCACACAGTCGTATATAAAGTCTATTTCTGTTTATAATGCTTTATATCATTTCCGGTGAGACTTATTCTTCTGTTCCTGTGATTTTTTTTTCTTTTCATTAATGCATCGGATTTCGGTGAAAGTGTGTTTTTTTATCGGAACTCCTTGGCCGTTGTATTCCACCCTACAATGTCGACCAACTTGCAAGCCCAAGGGAAAGGAAGCAGGCGACGACGGGAGTAATAGCGTCGGAGGACTTATTTGGACGACAGTTAATATGAAATAACTAAATACCCACTTCTTGTCTTGCCTCAAAATACAAACTTTCAAGATGGTTTTTGGCCATTATCGTTGTCTCTTTGGTCAAATATGTTTAATGAGTCAAAATGGAAATTAACCACCATGTCAGCATACATATACATGTGGCAGCTTACATGGACTAAATGGACATTACATGGACTAAATGTATTTATTCTCTTATAAAACATAAAAATAAGTTAAATAATTGAAAATATAAAATCCAAATATATTGTTGGGCTAATGTAGGGGTGTCAATTTATGACACGACACGATAAAAATACACGACACGAAACGAAATTGAGACGAAATCAAAATTCGAATTCGTTTTCGTGTCGTGTTCGTGTCAAGTATAAAAAACACGATGTCGTGTCGTGTCGTGTTCGTGCTTACAAATCCACACGAAATTGACACGATTGAGCATATGTTTGTCGTGTTTTTCGTGTTTATCGTTTTTATCGTGTTATATATGATTAAATAAAGTAATAGTTATGTAATATTATCATTGTCGTGTCGTGTCGTGTTGTCTTTTTTAATTGGTTCGTTTTTGTGTTAGTGAAAAAAAACACGACATCGTGTCGTGTCGTGTTCGTGTTACAAAAAATATTATCGTGTCGTGTCAGACAAAAACACGACATGACGGCCCGATTTGACAGGCCTAGGCTAATGTAATGTCATTATTATTTTCTCATAACATTTATATAACAAGTCAAAACAAAGATAAATTACCTTTTTACGTATTCATGTAAAATTTACCTTTTTCACTTATTGATTGATTAAAATTTTGTATCCATACATGTAAGCTTCTAAGAACATAGAAATTTTTTTTTTCACTTTTACAAATTAACATTTTTTATAATATGTTTTCTAGCTTTGTTTTACAAATTTGTATCCATGTATTTAAGGCTCTAAAAACATGAAAATTTTGTGTTTTAAATATTTGTTTTTATAATTTTGTAAAGAAACCTAAGTTATACCAAACAATGTAATAGGAACCTTTCAGGATCAAATCACAATACCATGACAAAAAAAAATATGATTTTGATAAACCACAGGGACCAAAACTGTATTTTACTCAAAAATGTAAAATAGACAAATATTTTTAAATATCAAATTTTGAACTCTACTGATCGGGAACTGATTTGTACACAACACTTTTTCTCCGTACACAACAATTTGTGCTTTAAAGTGTTGTATTGTACAACTCTATAATGCATAAATTGTTGTGTACGGTCAAAAATTGTTGTGTACGAATCACTTCCCCTACTGATCATCGTCGTCATCACAGACACTTCCCTCTGCATACAGTGACACAGACGTCGGAGCAATAATGGCGGCGGCGGTGGTAGTCACGTTGAAGACGTTGTTTATCTTATTAGCTTTGACGATGACAGCTCTAGCTGTTTGGGCAATCGGCACGCATGGTCTCGCTGCTTGTGTTGACCTAACTTCAGGGTAAGTCACGAGCTTAAATTACAGATGTTGGAGACTTGTTTTCCTTTGGAAAATCGAATACATAATTATATAACTGTAATTTCATTCTCCATGAAAATGCAATTTCTTCTCTACTTTATTACTTTTCTGTTAATTGCAGGTGGTTGGTAGTGACACTGATAAACTTTTACATAAATCTTGGTGTTATACTGGTAAGAAAATTCATTTCAGTTACAACTTTTACAAGGCTAAGTTTGTTGTTTTGTTTTCCATCAATTTGAACTCTGAATCTGTTCTATCTACAAAAAACCATCTGTATTCAGACTTGAGAGCAATATTTGGATTAATATATATGCTTCTCTCTTTTACTTGTTGAATCAAATATGTGGTTGTATATATACTTGCAATCTTAGGCTTGGATAGTCTACAAGGAATCAAGCTGGATCAAGGCAGCTGTATTGATACCTGTTGTACTTTTTGCAGGAAGGTAATTAAACTTTATTATTATTTTTTATTATTATTATTTACCAGTGTAAAATATTTTGAGTAAATTTTCTTTCTTTCTACAGCCCTATTACGAGTGCATACGTGGCTCTACAGTTCTTTAAGTTGTCACCAGAAGAATCATCAAAGGATCCATTATATTTTGTGTTGGTGAGACATCAAAAAAAGTAAGAATCACGATCACCCTTTACATAATTACATTACATGATATAATCTTTCGAGGGATATGTCTCATAATGATCAAAAAATTTAAAAATGTTTGTTAACATGCTTGTAATTTTATTATATATTTGGCTTATATAGGGATGACATGGGATACAAGAGGGGACATTCTGTTTTAATTGCAAAAATAATTATTTCTTCACTAGGCTGCTTGATGCTGGGAACTTTTATTTATGTGCTTATTGTTGATAGATCTCCATTCAATGCCAGTGTATTATCAAGGTACCATTTAAAATTTCCCTTTTATTTAATTTATGTAAAAAAGTGTAATAGACTATAGTAAATGCTCATATATAGTTGTAAATGCTCACAGGTGCATGATGGCAACAACAACCGATGTCTATTTCTGTATTGTCACTATAGCAGTAAGTCTTCGTTTATCATATACTTTCCAACTATAGTGAAAAAAGAGTTTTTTAGATTTTTGTTATAACAAAGAATGTTTGATTGCGTTTTTTGATCAGGTGTGGATTGCATATAAGGAATCAAGTTGGATAAGTGCTTTCTTTTGGATACTTTCACTTCTATGTTTTGGAGGGTAAGCATATATATATATATATATATATATATATATATATAGAAACTAACATTTATATCATTTTTTGTTACGTTCTTATGCCTTGATATAACTATTTCACAGCATTGCTACATGTGTATACATATTGCGGGAGTTTTTTTACCTTTCACCTCAGCAACCACTTTCCGCCATACTTTTTACTAACAAGTAAGTCTTGCTAAGAATACTGTACATCATATAAATTGCTGTTGTTTTGGTTAAAATTTTGTTTCAAGTGTTTTTTGATGACTTTTGAATTTTACAGAGACTTGTTGTCAAGTGATCCACTGTTGATGGCGCATACCAATGTATAATCAGGGTCTGCAGCAGTTTGTTTTTTTTTTTCAAGTGTATGTTTTTATGATTTCAAGAAAGATGAAATTAATTTCCTGAACATGATGATGTTTGAATTAATAAGTTCATTAAATAACTTTATTCACCTTTGATCGGGTTAATTGCATCCTGGCGTTGAGCAAATTGAAGCGGACAATATTAGATGTTATATTTGTTTACTTCAAATTCAAATTATAATGTTGTTCAACTAATGGATGAATTTCTAATCCGAAAATTATCATTGAGTGTCAAAATAATAGACTGCCACCTCTTCGATAGATGAAAGCAACATATAATTAAAATGTATGATATATAGCTAAATTGTGGAGATGAATTAAGTTTCATTGCCTTTTATTTGTTTTCACAAAGGGGAAGTGGTGTGAGGATAGAACCCATAAATTATTCAGATGGGAGCAAGAAGAAATTCCAATGGCAGCCATTAATCCAATTGTTTTTCCAAAACAGCTTTGGAAAAATGTCATATTTATTCGTTTTAATATCTATCATATTTAATCTTTATAAGTTTTCAAATTAAGTATAAGATTCGTTTAAATCTTGTTTTTTTATATTTTTAAACATTTTATATTTTTTTATAATTTAAAATCATTTAGTTATTAAAAAAATTAAATGAACCATATTGTCCCTGCTTCTTAGTATTGGAAAGTTTTGAATCAGATGAATCACATGCATACAAAACGTCCACATCAACGCTAGGAGAAGAGAGGGTCATCTGTCGGTTTACCCGTGTCCACCATCGACGTCGACATCACCCTACACCATTGAAAACCATCGTTCAAACTTCGTCAACCGCATTGGCCCTGCGTGTGTCTTTGCGCGTCTTATGCACGTTTTACTGTGTTGGTTCAAGATGTTACTTTCTCACATCCATTCAAAGTTGGTGATTCTTAGGTGGTGTTTGTTTATTTTTCCGTCTTTCTTTTGTTGCAAAAGCTTTTTTTTTGAACACTTATGTCTGCGGGCGGAAAGACAATAACAATTGCGTGTTCTCGCAGACGGTTTGTTTTAAGAAGACTGCAAATATCATAATGTTTGTGCGTCATCTTCTCCAAAAAGATATGAACCAATGTTTGCAGATGGGAATACATTTTTCGCAAACATCTTTTAGGATATATATATATATATATATATATATATATATATATATATATATATATATATATATATATATATATATATATATATATATATATATATATATATATATATAACTTGAAATTTTAGATCACACTTTTCTTTCAAAAAAGTTAGCTATTACACTTTCATTTTTAACTTTTTGCTAAGTAAAAAAATAAACAAAATTTTAGTAAAAGAATATTTTCCAAAAATATTACAAAGTTTATTTTCTTCTAGGCAATATATATTTCTAAAATCTCTATCGGTCTTTAAAATTTTCATTTAGATAGTAAATAATCTTCCATTTCCTCTTATAGTAAATCACTAGATTATGACCGGGCAAGGCTAATGTTGTAGCGGATTCCCTGAGCCGTAGGGCGGAAAGCGCCCCGATGCGAGATGTTTGCATGAGATTAACAGTGATGACTCTGGTGTGGGACACCATTCGAGGGGCCCAGACGGAGGCCATGAGACTAGAGAATCGCAAAAGGGAGCGAGTGATCAGGCAGGTATCGAAGTTCGTTACCAATAGGCGAGGACTTATGACCTTCTAGGGTCGGGTTTGGGTACTGTTTGTGGGCGGAACACGTACCATCTTGATGGAGGAGGCGCATAGATCAAAGTTCTCGATCCACCCAGGGGCCACTAAGATGTATTTGGACCTGAAGAGGGAGTATTGGTGGCCCTGTATGAAGAGGGATGTTGCATGGTTCGTATAGAGGTGTTTGACATGTCGCAAGGTTTAGGCCGAGCACCAGCGTCCGCATGGTAAGTTGCAGCCGTTAGAGATTCCCAAGTGGAAGTGGGAACAGATTACCATGGATTTCATCACCAAATTGTCGAGGACTACTAGGGGTGTCGATGCAATTTGGGTGATTGTGGACAAGTTGACGAAGAGCGCTCACTTCCTTACCATCAGTGAGAGCTCTTCTGCGGAGAGGCTGGCAGAATTGTACGTGAGGGAGGTGGTAGCGCGACATGGAGTACCGATCTTGATTGTCTCAGATCGAGATGTACGTTTCACTTCCAGATTTTGGAAGAAATTTTATGAGGAATTGGGTATGAGGCTGCATTTTAGTACCGCATACCACCCACAGACTGACGGACAGAGCGAGCGGACGATTCAGACGCTCGAGGACATGCTTCGGGCATGTGTACTGGATTTCGGCGGGAGTTGGAACACGTATTTGCCTTTAGCTGAGTTTTCCTATAACAACAGCCATCACTCGAGCATTGGTTTGCCACCCTTTGAGCTGTTGTATGGGAGGAGGTGTCGGACCCCCATTTGCTGGGGTGAGGTAGGGCAACGTGTGATGGGTAGTATAAAGATAGTGCTTTTGACGACAGAGCGGATACAGCAGGTCAGACAGAGGTTGTTGACCGCTCAGAGTCGCCAGAAGAGTTATGCGGATAGGCGATGATCCGAGCTCGAGTTCCAGGTCGGTGATTTCGTGCTCCTGAAGGTATCTCCTTGGAAAGGAGTGATCTGATTCGGGAAAAGGGGCAAGCTGGGGCCCCGATATATTGGGCCGTTTAGAGTGATCGTGAGGATGGGCAGGGTAGCGTATCGATTGGATCTACTTACGGAGTTGGGCCAGATTCATGATACATTCCACGTGTCGCAACCTAGGAAGTATATAGCCGATGAGTCAGCAGTGGTACCACTGGAGGATATTCAGGTGGATACGAGCCTAAACTATGTTAAGAGGCCGATCGCGATTCGGGATAGGAGGATCAAGGTTTTGAGGAATAAGGAGGTGTCATTAGTTCAGGTCCAGTTGCAACATCGGAAGGGGTCCGAGCTGACTTGGCAGATGGAGTTAGAGATGCGTGAGCAGTATCCAAAGTTATTTGTTAAGCGAGACTTTGAGGGCGAAGTCTGATTTTAGTGAGGGAGAATTTTAAGACCCAGTTTTCCAGGTATATTGATTTATGTTGTATTTCTTTAATTATGTAAGGTGACTCGACGAGTTGGTGCTTCGACTCGTCGAGTCTGGTCGCGACTGGATGACGTGGTTAATGGGGGGACTCGACGAGTCAGGGGAGCGACTCGCCGAGTCAGAGCTGACGAAAGAAACCCTAATTTCTCGAGTTTGAGACCTATTTAAAGGCCTTTATGGCCTTCATTTGTGACTACCAGTCCATAGAGAGAAACCCTAGAGTGCTTGAGCGTTTTGAGAGAGAGAGAGAGAGAGAGAGGAAACCATTCTTAACCTTTGTGGTGTTGTTTAGCAAGAAGAAGGAGGTCCTTACCAAGAGGAAGCAAAGGAGGCTACTATTCAAGGAATTTGAAGCCAAGATCATCGCATTTGAGGTATTAATTCGGCTCATCTTCTGTTTTATGAAGTATATATGGATTTAGGGTTTCATGTGCCCTTTGTTAGGTTGATTTGATGTCCAAATAGTCCTTTTTGGTGATGACGCTTTGGATATGGATCTATAGAGGTCCAGAGAGCCTTACAAATCAAGCTTTATAAAGAGCAATGGAGGTTATGACCTTGGAATAAGGTATTTAGGGCTAAATCATCATATACGGTCATATAGATGTTGTATGTGCATCAAGATAGAAACTTTACGTGATTATTGAGCTTGGGAAGGTTAGATCTAAGGATTAGAGGAATAGATCTGGCCTCAGAAAGCTGTTTGAAGTTGTGCATGAAATGAACTCGCTGAGTCCATGAACAGACTCGACGAGTCGGAGCGGGTTGTCCTGTGACTCAGATCAGTGGATGATTCGCTAAGTTAGGTGAGTGACTCGGTAAGTCAGCAAGGATTCAAAGGACTCGAGTTCACTTATGGACTCGACGAGTCTATGCAAGGCTCGACGAGTCAGGTCAAAGGTTGACCGTTGACCAGCGTTGACCAAGGTTGACTAGTGTTGAATTAATAGTGTTAGTCAAACTAAGCCAGGAAAGTATTAATTAGAGATGTACTTATGATATAGGAGTACGATAGGCCGGGGAATCGAGCACGAGCGATTATCCAACATCAAGCAAGGCGAGTCTTCTCACTATGCCATACCCGATGGGGTAATTATGTGTGACCGGAAGGTCTTATGTGTATCATGTTTATGTGATGCATGTTAGATATGTGATATGTTATGATATGAGTATGATGATATGGACCGGAAGGTCAACAGAGTTTTGGGATGGAAATCCCCTGAGACACTTGGATCGGAAGATCCTATAGAGTTATGGCCTGGAAAGGCGTGTGTGTTGTATGTGGTATTTGGGGAAACTCACTAAGAATTTATGCTTACCGTTGTGTGTTATGTATTTCAGGTACTAGCGAGGACCGTGGAAAGGCGTCGGCGTGACCCGTACACACAGAGAGGAGACTTGATTTGTGATCTTGGGATACGTTTTGATATGATAACTATTTTGAAATACTTTTTGAGAATGTTTTATATATAAATTTGGTTGTTGAAAAAAAATGAAAAATGAAAATTTTGTTTTGAAAATTATATCGTTACAACAAGTCTCACGCTCTCCCTCCAGGAGACTCTGGTTACACTAAATGTTGAGGATTTTACCAGTACCCCGAAGGGTGCAATTGAAGAATTGTCTCACAATCCTGTATCAACTAGTTTACGTGTAGTTCTGTATCCTTTTCTCGTAATTGAAACTGTTTGTATACTTAGTAGAGTATTAATAATTACACTTAAATAATTATTTAGTGTTATACCCATGTTATCCGAATGTAGTAATGAATATCATAAATCTAAGTTGTCATAGCTGTGACATCCCCAAAATCTCGGCCAGAAAAGACCGATTTTCATTTATGCTTTTAAAATAGATTCAGAGTAAATCCTTTTGATTTGAAAGAGTTGCGGAATTTGTTCCCAAAAACAAAACATGATAAAACAATGTTTACCAAAGCATTTCATAAAAGAAATGTATTTTCATTATAATCAAAACTCGGGGTGTCATGTTCCGATATAGACCAACAAGCATAAACGATAACATTACAAGTCATTCAACAAATATATACATATACAGACTTGTAAACAAAACAACTTGATGGTTCATC